CTACTGATGGCAACCGGTAAATGGATATTGAGTACATTGAGTAGACAAGTGGTTATAAATAATTGTACCTTTTTGATGATGGTTGCAGTGGTTCTGTATAATTATTATCTACTTTGTTATTAGTACAATTACAATAATGGACCTAATCCCAAAATTGTAGGTTTGTCATGACGTGGCTACTAAATCTATGAGATCTTACGTGGAAATCAAATTATTGTTTATTCTGACTCGTCCTATTGTTAGAATCACCAATACGATGTTACCTACTTCTGGAAAATACATTTGAGCTGGAGGAAGAACAATATATTGAGTATGAATAAGAGAGATAAGTTACACAAGAGTGACCACGCCTGCAAGGCTGAACCACACCATCCGATTTATTTAATTAGTTCTTCCTGCCTTCCTTGTCGTTAACCTTTACTCTGTGTTAATTTTTGAATATGCATTTTCCCAGTTATCGCATGTTCATCTTTGAGGATTGTGTAGTTAGAAACAATCCCACTAAAATGGCATGTTGTGACTGAAAATAATGGCATAAACGACAAGTGAAGAAAAGCCGTAATTCTCTATTCCCATATATATTCAGTAATCACCCGACTACTTGGTCACGAGGTGATGCAAAAGAATGAAAAGAACCAAAAATATATTTCGTCTGGGATGTTTCATATCCGGTTGGATTCGTTTCTAGATTTTATACGGCCAAACGCGTAGAAAAATCCATTGATGTGGAAGGCGGGAAGAATGAGTAGGAATGAATTCGGATGGTATGGCTCGGCCTTGCAGGCGTGGTCACCCTTAAGTGTTGTAACATAATCTTTAATTCGTATTAAATATGTTGTTCTATCTCTAGCTCAAGTTTGTTCTCCATCATATATTGGTGATTGTTACAACGCGATGAGTTGGTGTAGACAATGATGTGACTTCCATGCAACTTCTTATGAATTAGGCAGTTACATCTATTATTAGAGCAGTACTAATAACGAAGTAGCATAGGCCGTTCACCAGTTTTCTCCATCCAACTTTGTCCTGGACAAGCCCCATTTAAATCCAGTTGTTATTTATTCTTTTAATATATGCTTGCAATTCTCGATGGAGCGTGTACTTGGATCTTCCGTTTTTTCATTTCCCCTCAGGATCTGAAGTTAGCGCTTGTCTTCTTTTCGGTCTGGTGATCCTCTTAATGTGTATCCTATCCACTTACAGAATTTTTCCTCATTTTCTCTTTAGTAGGAAGCTGGTTTGTTTCCTTTCACAGTAGGTTGCTGCCGATTGTATCAGGCCAACAGACGCTGTGTATTTTTTGTAGATAATTGTATATAAAAACGTGTTTTTTGTTGATGGTTGTGATTGTTTTTTTCATTTAAGGTCCGTACAGTCGGACTTGTGTGGTGTTCGTATTAAAGATTTTGAATTTGATGTTGACTTACAGATAATTCTTTTGATTTCCATATATTCGTCATCAATAAGGTCATTGAAACTCCCATGTTGGTGTCAAAATTCCATTGGTTTGAGCCCAGATTTCAGCTGTAATTGAATAAGATGGCATGAAAGGAAGCAATTCAGAGATCTCACAATCGCCAAGTAATTGTTAACATATAGATTGCATAATATTTAAGTTGTTGAAGATATTTACCAACTATATTATGTTGAGTATTTGTTGTCAGTTATTTGCTCGACAAACTACCGACCCAGGCATAGTTGTGGCGTCTGAGCGACTGGTGAAAATGTTTCATGGTGTTCGACGTCATAAGTGTTACTCGGCAGTTACTTGACTCCTCCGCATCTTCATCAGTTTTTCTTTTGCTTTCATGAAGTATCACACCTTCGAACAAATAACTCAGGCCGTTTTCTGCATTTACACAAGTATTTATCTAACAATGACCGGTAATAATAAAAATTTGTTATAATTTAGCTGCACACATGACTGTATACTAACATAAATGGTTAGTATGAATTGTAAACTTGATATTTATTAAGTGGTTGTGCTCAAGATCACGTATCTTAAATTAGAAAACGTTCATGAGGGCGAATAATAATGAATAACATAGCACTTAAAGATGAATTTCAGTTTCGGAATATGGTGAATGAATTTATCTTGAAGAGTAGCAAGAGTTTTGTTCTATTGAAAGTGGCTAGCTAGTTGGGGCTGTCACAATTCGTTTTAACAGTTAAAATGTTCCCAAAATACATGGTCCTTTAAGTCTTCGACAATGGTGCTGACATCATTAGTTTTGCCGGACCCAGGGTAGATGAAAGCATCCTGGCAAACATCCGAACCAGGTCACGATTGCCTATCCTGGTAGGAGATCAATGACCGAGAATCCAGTACACGAGAATGTTATTTACATCAGTAGATCTATGATGAAGTTGAACAAAAATGGAGAAAGTGGACAGCCTTGACGGACACCACTTGAGGTTGCAAAATCAGATGACAGTTCGTCATAAGCTCTGACTCGACTAGTAATGTTCGAGTAAAGAGCCTTCACAAGGTTTGTGTACTTCTGAGTTACGTCTTTCAATGACAGACAATACCACAGAACCTCTCAGTCTACAGAGTCAAACGCTGCTTCTAAGTCAAGGAAGACCACCATTGTCGGACGCCGATAAGTATGCCTGTGTTCTAGAACCTGACGAATGGTGAACATGTGGTATATGCATCCACAACCAGGTCTGAAGCCAGCCTGATTTTCACGTGTTTGCAGTTCATGAGTCGTAGCTAGGCGTCCGAAAATTATCGAGGCTAGTATTTTAGATGCTATATTAGTCAAACTAATCCCTCTATGGTTGTCACAGAATGATTTTGACCCTTTCTTAAATATTGGGACGATAAGTGATTGTGACCAGTTAGATGGGATAACGTCTAACTCCCAGATTTTAGCTAAAATATTAGTCAACCTAATCGCAAAAATTGGACCACCATCCTTAAGGACCTCTGGAGCCAATCCATCTGGACCAGTTGCCCTTCCTCGTTTTAGATTAACTATAGGCTTTCAAACTTCAGCTTGGGTTGGAGGACCTACTTCAATGTTCCATTCACACTGTCTGGGAATAGTGGTGTCTGACGAAATCTCAGCACGGATTCGAAAAGCTCGTTTGGCTTTCGCCAACTTACGTCACCTATGGTGAAGGCGACATATCCGTCTATCAATTAGAGGACGAGTATTTCGCGTGGCAGTTCGTTCTGTTTTACTTTACAGCTGAGAAACATGGTCTTTAAGAGTAGAAGATATTCGTAAGTTACTAGTATTTGACCACAGGTGCCTTAGAAATATTGCGGGTATCTGCTGGGATCACCGGGTAGGTAATAGTGAGGTTAGACGCAGGGTATTGGGGAATGATGATAAATTAGTTGATGAGGTTATGAATCTTCATCGACTGAGATGGTTGGGCCACGTGCTGCGTATGCCTGAACACCGATTACCACGGCGCGCAATGCCAACTAGTGTTAGGGATGATTGTAAGAAAGTTAGGGGTGGTCAAAGCTAAACGTGGCATCAGTGCTTGAAGTCACTAACTTCTGGTCTGAGCCATGTTGGTAGATGCAGACCACCTTGTTGGGGTCTGCGTGACCAACGTAACCAATGGTTGGAGACTCTTGGTGACATGGCTCAGAATCGATCACAATGGCGTGGAGGCATACATTCTCTGTCTTCCCTTAAACTATGAGACTAAAATTGTTTCATATCTTTCTACGTACTAAATCTTTCTTGTTGTACTATATCTTTATATGCAATCTTTCCTTTATATATTACCACCACTGAATTAACTATATCTATGAATTTGGTGTTCATCTTGTTGTGCTAATGCGGTATGGCAACTTGGACCGATGAATATATGTGCCTGGTCCTACGTTGCAGTTGACTGACTGACTACTACTTCTCAACTTAAGTCAACGCAATACGGCTTGTTTTACATGTAACTCAGGACACCGACCATTCGAAGCTGCATACGAAGGACATCATGACGTTATTAAACATGAACCTAGGTATTGTAACACTGATAAGAACGGAACTCAAAACGACATCAACATCTTTTAGCTGTAATCCCTTTCTTTATGATGCTTTACCCTCTGCAGCAAATTGGTTTCATCTACAATTTTTCGCAATAAAAACATAACATGACAAGAATAAACTTATTTTGACATGCTTAAATGTATACATATTCGATTAAAAAAATCTATCTCTAGATATACCAGCGTGCTTGTGTATTGTTTTTTACGAAATAATTGAACGTAAAAACCGTTTTTGTGAAAATTTTCTCGCTGTTGCATATACACATACCATCGTTTCGTTATGTATTTTTGGCTTGACTAAGCACAAGAGAATTTCGACATGCACTGACATTTTGGATATTTTTTGCATGACTCCTAGAAAACGTAAAAATCTGCAAACAGGTGCCAGGAGTCGAACTTCTAATTAGACGTTTATCATGTGCCATATAGCTTATTATAGTATCGCAAGACAACCGGAGGATGGTCACACTCTAGTTGAAGACATTCGGTCTAGCTTCCTTATCAGATCACCACTGAGAAGGCCAAACTGTGAATCTTTCACAGCGACTAGCCAACTTAGATCACAAATTTGTTGATCTACCGACTTTCTACTGGATATATATTCGAATTTCACTCCTGAATTCTGATCTTATTAAGTCCCAAATCCTAGATTATATTGGTGTTACCAAGTCTAGCATATCCATGAATCCTAAAGTTTATGATACGTGGCCTGCATAGAATAGATCTTTAGCTGGATTCAGATGGATTCGATTCATTGAATTGGCAGACCTGAAGTTAGTTATCAACGACTGCTTTCGCTAGTGTAAAGATCAAGGAAGTCGATCCGAAATTAGCAACTTTCATTTATCTTTGATTAATTTATCATGATTCTTCTCAAAGACGCTTAAATAAGTAGTAAATTAATAGTTTTGCAACTCTAAACAAGCTCTTATGTTCGACAAATGTCGTTGAGACTTGGTTGTTTAAACGTTTCGATACGAAATAATGAAGTTCATTTTTTTAATTGTACAATTTCGGTTTTGCAGAAATGCCATCTCCAGAAAACGTTTGACTACTCATCGTTAATTTTAGTTAGTTCATCCGGACGTTGATTTGTTTGGCACTAACACTGAGCTCATTTAGTATGTTATCCTGAGCATTGTTAAGAATTTAGTACTTGAAATGTTGCTAAGTATTCTTGTAAAAATAGTTTAAGCTAAATGTTACTGCCTTTTTAGTATGGAATGTTACTGTATAGGTTGGGTATTCCATGTTTTATTTCCATTTATTTACAGCAAAAAAATTATTGGCGTGTAATTTGTCTGGAGACAGTGAAAGCACTTAAAGTATTTATCATACAGTTCAAATGGTCGTTCCACTTCTTGAAGATATTTTTGTATTCCAGTGCTTGTGTTGAAGTTCATTAAATCCCTTGTGTATTTTTTACATGTTGACTGTCGCTCTAAGCGTCTTTTTGTTTGACGAGTGAGTCAATAAGAGCCATAAATGGTTCAAGCTTTTTGTTCAATTCTCCACAGAGTATCCTGTCATTTATGTCCTGCAAACTGAGAGAAAGCTCAGGGTTGCCTTTGAAATTCATGATTATGAGAGAGTCATCATAGATAGTACCATAGATAGTACCTTCTTTATAATCGTCAAACTAAATAAAATGGAAGAAAATCAATGCACTGTATCTATCTTACTTTTTGGTTTTGTGTCGTAAAGTTCTCTTGGATGTTTTAATTCTTCAAAAACAAAGAGACTTGGTTTTTTGCTCTATGTACGAACTAGATAGGGGGGTCTCTGGAGGCACCATTTAGTATGGAAAGGAAACAGTGTTATAAGTTCTGGAGGCTTCTAGTTGTCAAATACATTTGAAAGTTATTTATGAACCGGAGTTTATTCTATCATGATTTAAAAATTTTTGGATTTGCATAAGTTTCAACTGGAACGGAAACACTAGATTCTGATTTAGTCTAAAGTTTGAGATGAAGTAGACTAGGGAGCCTTATATCGTACATTGAGATACATGGGTCGTCATAGATTTTTATTGGTCCAGTGCTTTATTTAATCTTGTCGCATACTTTAATTTAATCAGACTTTCCTGCTATTCCTTTATGTTTCCTTAGTTTGAATCATCTTGTAAATTCCATATAAGACACATTTTATTGTTCGGTTAATTGAATAATGTATGAAAAGGAAGGTTATCTTTCTAGTCATAACCTAATATAGACCCAAAATGAAGTTTTCCAAATGTAATCGGAATGTATCGTCAATAAAAGACTTTTATGCTGGTAGATTTTGTGTTACTATTGAGTGATGAGTCTACTCAAGACTATTTTTTTCTAAAACGTTGAAGTACTTTCTAGTCGAACTATTAGACTGGTAATTGGGTACAAGTTGTCAGTTTTTAGTCTTATAAGTGATTTGAATTTTGTGAGTGCTCAGTACAAACAGGATCATATGTATTAACACTAATAGTAGTTCACCTACAATGTCTTCAAGGGTGATAGGAATGTAAGGTGTAATTCATGTGAAACTCAGGCTCAGTAGAGAGGATGCCATTGATATAGTTATGTTCCTAGGTAATTTGACTTATGGTAATGATCCATTAAGCTTTTAGCATTGCCTCAGTCAGGTTTATAAGGTGTCCAAAATTCAAATCTTCAGTGTCTAGTAAACGTACTCGGTCTTAGGCGCGTCTTACATGGTTTCTATGAGCATATCTTGGGGGTGTGTTTAATAGTTAATAACCCTTGTGCCTGCCTATTAATCCATTTACATGAATGTGATAACCCACGTAAAATGGATAACTTGATAAGAAAAATTCTTACCTCTTTTGGTTTAATCTTTGAATTTTCAACACTTGTTTATTTGATGCCTTTGTACTGACAAGTATGCTTGTTGAATGCAAACGAGGTGGGATAGTCAAAATACATGTCTCATATATAGTCAAGAGTGAGGGAACTACGTTATATATCGCAACTTGTCTTAAGTACAATAAACTACAATCAGTTTTTAGCATTGAAGATAGTATCGAGATCTTGATGAAGCTTAACGAAAATGTTCAGGTATGATAATTTGTACTCTGCTTTAAAGGCTGTTGTTTTTCCTACATTTCAGGTTAAGGCAAAAACCATGATAGTTTGTGATAGTTTGTAATCGAGATATCTACTTACGTTATAGTAATCATTCGCCGTACAAGATATTTCTTTTGGTAATGTTGTTTTGTAAATAAAAATGACCAATATCCGTTTCTACTCATTACACAGAGACAAACTTATGTGATTAATCCATGTCAACAAATAAACAAATGACATCATGAAGACCGAATTGTGACCTGAGGCTTTTAAAGGCAGTCAATAAGATTATATCGTAAATAAACACTTTTGATAAACGGCACCGACTATTTTTTATTATAGTGGATTTCCAAACAAATAGCGTCTGGTAATTTGTTTCTAAAGAAGTTATTCTTCTAAAAGTAATAACAAGAGCACATTCATAAGTTCATCAAGGTGATGGGATCCATCTTACTTTCAATAAGCTAACCAGTCTTCCGCTAGTTTATTGGCAGATAAATATTGTTCCATACGTCTCCTTTGAGAGGACATTAGATACGTTTTACTACTTTTCAGTAGACACCATCATTAAATATCTAACGAACTTAATCACTCCTTAATGTGGCTTTATGAACTAATAGCGATTTTAACTAAAGCAATACCAATAAAAAAAGATAGAAAGTTTTTTTCAAAAGATTATTATATGGTTGTTTGTATAGTTAGCAAATCTTTCTATAATAATGACTAAAATTATTGACACATAAAATCATGGAAGAATATTTAGCTCAGGTAAACGCTTTTGTTGGTGTCAAGTTTTCAATGCTTCTTTGGTTAACTGTGCAGCTTTCACTATAGTTCAAATAACACCGTTAGGATCTACTTTAAAATTAGGGTAGAAGTCTTACTTTAACTATTTTATATGTAAACTCATTTTCAAGATTATTTTGAATCTCTAACGTATAATTAACCTCACTATTATTATGCAACCTGCATTGTTTAATTTTTTATTATCTTTTTCAGATCTGACTATCAATCTACTGCCTAAGTGTATTTCTCAGATACAACTAGTGTTACTTTTACGTTTTTCTTTTCTTTTTTTTCTAACAAATACATTTGTCTATGGTAATAAATTAAATCTGTTTTGGATTTGGTAAATATATTTATACAGTTATTAATCCTATTGTCATGATTGCCCAAAACTATTTACAAAATGTTCTTACGCAAAAAGCCTTATTTTTATTGGTTCTTTCGGTAAATCTTATTCTCTGCCTTCTAAAAATCAATGATTATATTCATATAAATGCGTGGTTTATGTTTATGCCACTTTGGTTATGGAATATTCTAGTGTTTGTGGGTTCGCTCATTTTATTCTTACTTAAATCTCTCAATTTAACAAAATTCTGTTTATTCTATTATGTTTATCAACTTTTAATACTCACATTTCAAATATTTCTATGTATCAAACTAGAAAAAAATGTATTACATTGGTGTGTAGTTTTTACACCAATCTATTGTTTATGCGTTTTAGGATTTTTGACATTCACAAAAGCGTTTTGCGAGTTAACTGTTTATGATTGTGAGAAATTTCTTGCATTAAATCTTCCATGTGTCATTCTAATCGCCTTGCGTTTAGATAATTATATTAATTGGACATGGGTTGTAGTGTTAATACCATTCTGGATTATAATGGGATTTTTGATTGTATTGCTGCTATTTTTAGTTTGTATGTTATGTGGATTGAGTCGTTTCACTCAGAAAGATCTTTATGATATTGTTTCAATGATTGGATGCACATCAATTGCATTTACTTTTCTTATATTCGTTGTTCTTCTGGTCTGCCGGTTAGATAACATTAAACTGTTTACATATAATGAAATATTCTTACCATTATTTATTTGTATTTTGTTTTTGTTGATTATGACAATTTCTACAAACTGGTTAGTCAGTAAATTTTGCGGAAATATTAATAGTTCCGATGGAGGGAATTGTTTAGTGGAATATACCTCTGGATCTCGGTAAGCTTTTATCATTGTAGTTAGGGAATCGTCTTACTTTACAAATTTTTTAGTACACTGTTAAACTGGTTTATATTTTGGCAATAGCTACAATTTTATTACAAAAAGGTTGTAAGGCATGTATCATTATTAGTCAAAGGTTGCTGAATCTTACAAGTCAAGCACATATCAGCTTGTTTAAACTTTAAGCTGTAGATTGTAAGTGAAAACCACCGGCACTATAATGCTGAATTAGCTGAAGTGAAGTCCTAAAGAATGAACAAATACTCAAGGTGGAGTGCATCAATCATCAGGTTGACATCTAAAAAACATCTTTTCCATTCAGGTGTTTAACTGAATTGTTAAATTAAAAATGTCTTTGACTGCTTCATTATTTCATAATTCTCTCTACCGTTGATCTCATTTCGTAAGGTAAAACAAAAAGCATAGCCAATCCTTTTGTTTATATATTGGCTGTTAAAGATGATTCTCGTTAAGATTTAAGTAATATGCGGGTATTTCAAGTCATTATTTCTGCATACCTAAGGTTTTATAAATCTTGAGGAATATTTATAAATAGTGTTGTACACAGAGGAATCAAATGTTTGTCTACAAACGGTGCTTACTTTCAACTTGAAAAATAAAGGCAAAGATCTATAATTTAGTTTAAGTGTATTCAAAACTTTGTGACGCATTACTTGCTATTGATCTTTTATAATAGCAAGCGTCATTGTGCTATTTAAAGCTACTTTGATTGTTAGTAAAACAGTTTCTTGACTGAATTAGGACCATATTGTCTGTGATGACTGGTTACTTTCGTTGAACGGTTATGGAGTTACAAATCCGGTCATTACGTTAAGCTAGCATCTGTAATTCATTTGATATTCAATTTATTAAGAATAGTGAGTATAAGGTGGGTGAAACTACTTAGGATTTAAGCATTTAAGCATCAGTCCCAATATGGAAATCCTGTCCACAGATGATGGTTGGCTAGAACCTCGAAACATGCTTGTTAAACTAAAACGTTTATTTAACCGAGTGGATAGATAAAATTAGCTATGTTATGATGAAGCAGGCAATAGGTATTTTATCCTACCATAACGTAGATGTTCTGTATGGTTTTCCATGTAAACAATTTAATACTATATTCAGGCTTCCATTAATTGATTATACTCAGCTCTTTGTATTTTATAGGTTATCAGCAAATACTTCGTCGGACACTATTCAAGGAGAGAATACAAATGTTGCTAATATAACCGTTTCACGTGACAAGTATTCAGAAGTTCATCAGAATCTTACAAAGAACACTGCTTCTGAACCTCTTGAAAACAGTATCGAAACAGTTATCTCACCTAATACAGAAGCTCCTTGCAGTAATTTACTAATCAAAGACAAACATTTTTTTCATTCAAATAAACTAAACCAACCTATGATTAAAGAGAACTCTTTATCACTTCCGGATTAAGGTACCTAAATCTATTGACGTTTGCGTATTGATTTTACAAATAATATTCTTACATTTGTAATCTCAAATATTGCTTATTTATAAACTGCAATTGTAGAGGAAAATGTTATTTCACTCTAATTCGTAAAACACGTTTTAACTTTTTATTTTTTGTGAAAGACGTTTATTATAATGAGTCCGCTTAATTTGTGTTCAGATTAGCAGATTTTGAGCGACTTTTTAAATTGTTATTCATGTCTGTGAAATAAATGATAAATTCTGCTTTTTATAACGTTCATTTGTGACTGATACAACATAAATCCCGAGAAAATGTTTTAAAAACCAACAATAATTTTTGAGAATCTATGAGAATAATCAGTTTAATGAAATTAATTAGTATAGTTATCGGATTTTGGGACTAGATTTCACAATACTTTAGTTTTTATTGAAAAGATTTTGTGTTAGTTTAATGTGTGTTTCCATGTCACAATTCAGAAGACAGTGAACGATAACTTTATTGATATTTCAGGTTAAGAAATATTTATATATAGAACCTTCAGTGAAACGTAAGCTAGAAAACAGAAACCTGTTTATGAGAGAACCTTCTACTTTAACTGAGATCTAGTCTGAGTAATATTAAACAATAATTGGTACTGATTTTTGGTTTTTGCGCAAGGAAATGACTTTCATGTTAAGTAAGGGGTAAAATTTGATAGGAATCTCTAGGACCACCGAAGTAGTTACAGGTGGCGCAAATTCATTATTTCGGACACAGACGAGCGAACTTTTAAAACCGATTGTATGATTGAGAAAGAGTAGTTCTGCCATACTGTATTAACTACGAAACTTGGAGATCTAAATGTTTATCAACAGTGTGTAGACCGCAGCTTAGTTTCAAAGTAGATCAATATTTTTTAGAAGAAAATGAAAATGAAAAAGTTGAAGAGCACAGTTTATTCCATCAAAACAATAGTAAATTGATAACAGTATATTTAGGAAATATATATATTTATATAAACATAAATTAATTACTATTGAGCTTACTGTCTATAACACGATAAATTGTGTTTAATGACAGTGTATTTTTTATTTGTACAACATATAGAAAAAGAATTACTGTCGACCAGGAAGTGAGCAAAAAGTGCTATGATAAAGTAAGGATTCAGAGAAAAATAAATCTTGGACATAATGAATAGGAGTAAATCATTGAAATCAGTCTGTGCGTTAATGGACACAGAATAAAATCTAAAATAAGGGAAGAATAAATGAAGAATATGAAGTAATTAATAAGTAAAAAAAATAGTTACATCTTCTGAATGAGCTGTATAAACAATTGAAACTCAAGAGATGAAAGGAATTCCTATATATTGAGAATTCTGAGAGTGGTACAGTTGGTGAAGATATAGAACTCATTTGTTTACCTGTATGTAATATGAAAACAGAATTGTTTTTATTGTTCATATACACAGCCTTTTTTGTTCGATTCACGTAATAGTTGATTATTACAGTAAGTTTTTGATTACTATAGACGTAGTGTGGCTTGTAAATAATACATAAATGTAACAATGTAATAAAAAGGAATGTGAGTTTATTGTACACAGGTTATTAGGTCTTAAGTTTGATTGATACAAAATGATTGAGTATTGTATTAATATTTGTCTATGAATGGATTTTACAAATAAAAGTTTGAGAAAATATGTTTTCAGTCACGACTGATTACTGATCAATATGATATTTGTTTCTTTGGATGTTTCTGCCCTAATCCCTTCATTGTTATAGGACCCAATATGATTATTACAATGCTCTTTATTTTTATCTTGTACTTCTACGTTTTCGTTCTCTTCCTCATACTGCTCCTCATCATCATCATCTTCATCCTCTACTTCACTAATGTCTTCTTCATCATCGTCAGTTTGCTCTTCATCAGCTTCTGGAATTGGCGATTTTACAAATTTATCTATATTTCGACTTAAATAAAACGAAACTGGGCGGCGTTGTACACGTGGACTGAAAGAAATCGGTAAATTATAATGATAAAATAGTTGTTGTTCCTGTGGTTGGTGTAGACGTTCTTCATTTTCTTCTTGCACTAGATCTTGTTGTTGTTCATGTCGCTGTTGCGATGGTGAGACTGAATTTTCTACTTGTAAACTAGTGGGTGGGTTAGGATAGACTGTTTTTTCATTAGATGATTCGTGTACTGACAAATATTTAGAATTACCATCAGAATAATTTTTGTATGATGAGGTTCTTTGCCTGCGATTATCACTGATTGTTACATGTTTACCATGACGAGAAGCTACGGGAACACCCGAAATCTTTCTAGGTGAATGGGCATTCGATGATACAGTTCCGTTATTACGCTGTTTGATAGATCGAACAGTGTTAAATGGTCTTGTATCCATATTTCTTTTGATATTAGTGCTGACATTGTTCAGAGACATGTTCTTCCAGTTTACCGTGTATGTACTGTCAATTGGATACAAGACAAATATGTGAAAATTACTAAAATAAACATTATAACTTGTATATAATTACTGAGGCCTTATATAGCATATTAGTGAAAAGCAGAAGCCAATCATCTAAGCGAAAATTCACTTTTTTTTTGGAAGAACTGACGAGATTTAAGTGTGGATTTTGTTTGTCAGTATACTGAAATATCCGAGATACAATCCACTGTGGCACCGTAGACTGACAATCATGAACATAACAAAAGTATTTTAAGCTGTTCTGTTTTGGTTTTTATAAACTATTTTTAGTGTGTTTATAAATTTCGAAAGAACTTATCAGCTACTTTATTACGCCAGAAGTTTCACCATAATTAAAAGCTTTAAGATTTTTTACTTACTTTTTTGTTTGGTTTGAAGAAAATACTAAATTTTTAATATGATCAAGTTTTTCTGAATTGTAATTCCCTGTGCTCAATAAGTCTAATGCTTCTACAAGACTGACCGAACGAGATTGTAAACGGCGTATTTCTTTGCATAAAGCACTGAATAACGAGTATGGTAGGTGAGGTTCTTGTGTGCCTGGTATCTGTTCACCTAGGCAGATGAAATGAGAAAATAAAACAGTAAGAATATATGCATATTATAAGCGGAGGGTATAAAAAATAAGTGAAGTTAATTAAATCGTGCTCAAATAAAGTCAACATAAGAATTGAAGCAGAATAGTATGAATTCATTTTATTTCGTGGTTTCTTATCAGATGCATACAACTGACATTGATAATGTAAAGAATTAGAATTGCTCGATACTATATCATGTACCAATGTCACACTTTAATATGAATATGGATGTATGTGGCTGATGAGAAACCCTGAAATAAAAAGAAATCGCATTATCCCACCTCAATCGTTGTTTTGGATTTATTGAAATTCGTAAAAGGAAGCAGCTGTATGAAATTTTTATTTGAAGCAGAACTAAAATTGCAGACTGTGAATCATTGGGTTTCCTCCCTTATGAAACTTAAATGACTTAGGGGTGATTCTCGATAGGATCAAAAATATACACCAATAGCTATTTTCAGTTTAAAATAAAACAAGTATCCAGTGCCATCTAACATTCGAGAGTCTTTCAGATGACCATAATACACTAAGCTTCGTCAAAACTCCCACTGATGTTAGATAAATGATTAGCTTAGGAGAATGATTTTCTTAGTTCTTTAGTCTTTAAATTCGATGGTTTAATTTTGATACTTACTTTATCTTTTAAAACAACATAAGAACGAAATTTTAGAAAATGAACTATTAGAATTTCTCTACATGTAAGTGACCACTTGTTTTGTCGATATCGGATCCATTAACTGTGTTTGTTTTAGAAATGTTTGTCAGTTATGCAGTCTGAGATAACAACCAAAACTTTCCGGTAGAAACATTCCACATAGTTACAACAACTCTATAAAAATCACTTGTATTGATATTATTTGAAAGTGAACGTTCAGAGGGGTTTTTTAAATATATCTCAGTGATTCTTCATGGTAATTTTATAATGTTTTGGTAATATGGTTAATCTTGTGTTATAGCTAAGAAGTGTTTTTTTTTTGGAAGTTTTTTTATGTATTATTCCACTAAGGTCACATCTAAGTAGCTGAGTAGAATTAGTAATAAATTTCTAAGTATTCACCTCAATAAAATGTGCATCGTCAAATAAACGAACCATTAGACTTCTGAAAACTGACTATCTAACATTATCTGATATTCTTATACATTGACCATGTTTTGGCTTTTATTTGAATAATTCGAAAAGATATCTTAGAATAAATAATTAAGTGCAAAACTACTCACCATTATTATGTATGCTGTCAGTATACTGTATTCGAATAGCTTTATTCGTTATATGGACTTTTGGAGATTTGTTTGACAAAAATTTAAGATTTTTGCGTAATTTTTGAATTGTCTCAATTTTGACTTGCCTTTCATTAGCCCAGACTTCGGACAATAAATCCATCTACATTATTAATAAAAGAATCACACGATAATGTAGGTTTATAATGAGAATTTTTTTAAGTGTTGAAAATTACATCAAAAAGTGAAAATAGATAAGGTGGAAACTATTACTACGTAATCTTGAGAAAATTTAAATATTGGATGATGGTGGTCCTAATCTTGTGGGGTGTATCAGTTTCTTTCAGGATATAGATACATCTTGCTGACTTTTTGAGATATAAAACAAGAGAGGGAGAGGTGGAGTGTTTGACGAAATATATCCCTATTTGGTGATTTTATTCTTGAAAATGTAAAATTAAAAATGCATATCATGTTTACGCTGATAATCTGTAATAATATTTTATCAAAGGTAAACAAAATATGTTTTGTTCATCTGAAGATTAAAATAAGAGTCACTATGGAGCCTAGAAAAGTGATTAAATGAGCAAAGGAAACTAGGTAAAATGATTAGTCGCAGTAGCAAAAGATTACAGAAGTTTTAAAATGAAATTTATTAGGCTTGAGTGATGACGATAACAGATTGTATGGAAGAAGTAGAGATGGAAAGTGAAGTATAATGTGGTTTTTCAAAAGTTAGTATTATAATTATAGATGAAGAAAAGGTTGAGTGAGATTTTTTACCTACTGAATTAATTAATGTTTATTCTTACATACTGTTTTTATCTTGTAATCCAATCATCGAATAGGTTTCGCTTAGGAAAATCAAAAAGTTGAGAAGACATATATATATATATATATATATATATATATATATATATATATATATATATTGCATACATTAAAGAGATAATTGGGCCATAGGATGTGACTAAAAGCGATGAATGACAGGATATTGATATCAT